AATTTGAGAGTCAGGGAACAGATACACAAGAAGGATGGGAGGGGGAAAAAGGAATGGTGTAATTATATTTTAATTTCAAAAAATATTTCAAATATTTTGAAGGTTTAATGCTAACCCTCTGTAAACTGGACAGTAATATATGTGTGATTTACACTGGTAACGCAAAGTTGTTTCAACAGTTGAAAACTAATGTAATTCATAGTATCAACAGACTAAAGGCAAAAAATGATCAGCTTGACCGGATAAGGGGAGCTCTTGAATCCCAGACTGATGACTGAAAGGCCAACAGTGGACTGATTCAGACTCTATGAATGTAGTCTCAGTGAGGAGACCACAGAAATCACTGGGGCCTTGGGTAATAGATCAGTGTTTACCATGGTATATGAATGATCTTTGGGAGCCCATTCCAAATAGAGGGATGCTCTCTCAGCCTGGACACATGGGGAGGGGCCTAGGTCCTGCCCTGGATGAAATGACAGACTTTGGAGATCCCCCAAGGAGGGCCTCACCCTCTCTGGGGAATGATGTGGGGACTGGGTGGGGGGCTGGGGGGGGCTGGTGGAGGGACAAGGGAGGAGGGGTGGGAGAGGAAGCTGGGATTGACATGTGAAGCATTCATGTTTCTAATCTAAATAAAAACATGTATTGAGGGAAAAAATCAGCTTTATAGATGCAGAAAAATCACTTTCATTTTAGCATTTATTTATAAGAACTCACAGGAAAAAGAAGCATGAGAGGGAAGTTTTTAATGTAAAGCATCTACAGAACTCAAAGTTCCAAACAGAAGAACTAAGCTGGTGTCATGCTTGATTTGGGGTGACTGACGTTTCCCCTAATATAAGGAACAAGGGTAAGATGTCCCTTTTGCCAGTCTCATTCCACACAGAACTGAGAGCCTAAAGATGCACCATGGCAGAAAAAAAGTAGGCAGCTTGAAAAAGTAAATATAGATTTTAGGCTGGGAGAGTTAAGAATGTTTGCTGCTCTTGCAGAGGACCCGACTTCAGTTCCCAGAACCCATGCAGGAAGCTCACAATTGTCTGGTAACTCCAGCTCTAGGAGTCCCACACCCTTGCCTGGTACCATGGGCACCTGTGCACATGCCCTGTCCATCCACATAATTAAAAATAAAAAATAAATCGTTTGTGCAGATTATCTCTGTCCTTATACAATACAAGAAATCTATGAAAAAACTGCCAGAACTACTTAACTAATGTGTTAGTCATATGACACAGTGAACCTAGAAACCAGACTGTATTTCTATATTTTACCAACAATGACAAAAATTTATAGATAAAAAGGTCCTTATGTGGGGGGGAGGGCACGGGAGAAGGGGAGGGAAAGGGAGAGGGACCTGGACCTGACTTGTGAAGCAACCTTGTTTCTTATCTAAATTTAAGCTGAAAAATAAATTTTTAAAAAATGTTTTTAAAAAAGGTCCTTCTGTAGAAACAACAGAAAACACTGACTATCTAAGCATAAGTCTGACACAGACAGGATCTATGAGACGAAAATGATAAAAACCCTCTTGAAAGTGATTAAAGACCTAAACAAACAGACACACATCCTGCTCAGGGGCTCGCTCGAATTAACTTAAGTTTTAATAATTGCAATGAAAAGTCTAGCAGAAATTTTTTGAAGATTTACTTATTTATATCTTATGTGTACAAATGCTTGCCTGCACACATGTGTATCGAGTAGGAAGTACCCATGGAGGCCCAGAACACGGCATTGATCCCCTGGAACTGCCATGTGAGTGCTGGGACCTGAAGTGCTCTTATCGTTAAGCATTATTTTCAGCTCGAATAGGAATTTTTATAGATGTCAATAAGATCATTCTAAAATGTATGTGAAAAGATACAGAAACTAAAATAGGCAAGATGAGTTTCTGAACAAAAAAACTCATTTTATGCATATGGGGGTTTTGTCTGCATGTACATCTGCACACCAAGAGAGGGCATTGGATCCTACAGGACTACAGACTATAGATGGTTGTGAGCTGCCATGGGATACTGGGAACTCAAGATCTTTGGAAGAGTAGCCAGTGCTCTCAAGGACTGAGTCATCTTTCCAGCCCTGGCAATACAATTTTGAAAGAAAACACAATTGGAAGAGTCAGATAGTCTGGTGCCCATAGCAATTTTATTTACTTCTACTGAAGTTAGAAAGTGTGGTAGTGGTGATACGCCAGACAAATTCAGAGAATGCAAAATGTAAAACTTACAAGACTTAGAAGAATGGGTCGGTAAGATGGCTTAGTAGGTACAGACACATTGCACCAAGCTTGGCAACCTGAGTTTGATACCCTAGATTCACATGCTACAAGAAGAGAAATGGACTCACTCAAGTTGTCCTCTCACCTCCCAAGCATGCCCTGGCACACACACACACACACACACACACACACACACACACAAAGTAAATAAGTGCAAAAATAACTTAAAACTTTTGATAAAACATAAAAAAAAACAATCTTTGTGACCTTGGGATATAGAGTTCCTACACTTGACACCAAAATCATGGCCAACAAGAAGAAAAATTGATAAACGACTTCATAATTTAGCAGTCCCACTATTTGCATCACCCTGTCAAGAGAATGAAAACAAGTCACAGGCTAGGAGAGAACTTCCACTAATTTCACATGTGACAAATGACAGGTGTCCAGAATGTACAGAGAGCCCTCTAGACTGAATAGTAAGAAGGCAAAAACTCTGGGGTTTTTTATATGCAAAGGATTCAAACTGTTTAGTAAATATGATACATGGGCACAGGGAAGAGATGTTTAACACGAGGAAATACTAGTTCAAAAGATGAGATTCTGGCACTCACCCATCAAAATGACTTTAGGTGAGAGAGATAAAATCAAAGCAACTCAAGGACATGGAACAGTGGGAACCTTCTAAAAGCACCGTTAGCCTTGCAGTGTGAATTCCCTGCCCTGGAAATGAAAGAAAGATCCCTACACATAAACAGAATTTTGATACCCTAGATTCTCTTCTCCTTCCATGTGAATCTAGGGTATCAAACTCAGGTTGCCAAGCTTGGTGCAATGTGTCTGTACCTACTAGGCCATCTTACCGATCCATTCTTCTAAGTCTTGTAAGTTTTCCATTTTGCATTCTCTGAAATTTGTTTGGTTCCAGACAAAAGCATGGCTGGAAGCATCGAAAGAGGAATGGAGGTGTGGAAGGGGGAGTAGATGGAGGTGGTGAGGTGTCAGGGTTTGGAGTAGGGTGTGTGGGTGGAGGTGTGGAGCCTCAAAGAGGAAATGCAGATATGAGGAGGGAAACAGGACAGAAGGTGTAGAAGAACATGTGCTCTGATTAGGACTTGGATCAGACTAATCAAGTATCCTGGGTGCTGTGTTTCATAACTTAGTACAAAGGTTTAAGGAGGATTTTTATGAGTCTTAATTTTTAATTGACCTTAATTTTGATGACAATTTAAACCAGGATGCGCTTTAAAGCTCTGCTTTTTCTAGCAGTGACAGGAAGAGCAGTGCTAGAGAAAAAGGAATAGTACTCGAGAATGTGCTTTCTAGCACATAATGGTAAGTGATAAGGTTGCACATGTTTCTTCCACTGAAGGACGATGCTCCCCAAAAAGGGACGACAATGTCATTGGTGTGCATGCCACACTGAGCCACAAAGAGCTGAAACCAGACCACAGACTGTTTATCCTGAGCAAGCACAACTGCTTCTATGTGGGGGCCCCTTTGAGCACGCAACTCCGGTGTATTTTTTTAAAGTTCGGATTTATAAATTAGTCAAAGCCCAGACTCTTCATCAGAAGCACTAGAATTTAGAGATGCTTCCTCACCATAACCTTCTCTCCCTTAGGTACTCCTGGTGTTCCCAGGACCCCCTGGATGCTGTGGGAAATGCAAAGAACGTAATGTCTCAAAGTTGCTCATGGCCAAGGTAGACCCAGAACACTGTTCTTCAACTATAGCTCACATGGCCTGGCTAAAAAGGACACAGTTAGGAGAGCTTAAGAGGCAAAAAGACCCGATGCATAGGAAATCTGAGTCATTAGACAGGATGCAGAAGCCTGTAGGGAAAGAGGGTTAGTCCAAGCCAACTTTCTGGGATGGAGCCTGGCTCCTGGCTGTCGATTACCCTCTTCCTCCTGTATAGTGCATGAGATTTTCTAACGTAGAAAATAGTAAAAGAGGTGAGAGAGTGTGGCTTCACCCTGAAAGGTGCTATCCCCCTATGGGCTCTTAGTATTTCCATTCCCTCTTTTAAGGCATAGACAGGGATGGTGCCTTAAATCTGAATGGTGATGAACAGAAAGCCAAGCCTCTCCCACAGTGACTGATAGAGAAAAGTGATGAACTCCTAGCTCCTGCCATCTGTACTGCCAACAGAGGCTCACCCAGGGCCTGGCCCAGTGAGGATAGGGGTCAAAGGAATACAACTCTGCCCACTTCATATCCCTACCAGTTCCTGATGTTTCTGTGCCAGCCTCAGCCCTCGGAGACTGTTCTGTTATGATCATCTTCTGAGATGTCAGAGAGCAAGCTTGAACATCTCAGAGAAATCCCAGCACCAAAGAATCTTGGGGTTCATCTTATGAGGAAAAAGCTCCACCTAATGGGAGTTCCCATCAGCCTGAATGCCAGTGTGAAATGTAAGAGCTGTCAGTTCCTATTTGCGTAGGGCTCTGGATGAACCACATAGAAACTCAACACTGACTATTTTTAGTCTTTAGTTTGGAAAGTAAATGGCCTAATATTTAGGTTCTTTCATCAATGGGTAAAACCAGAGAATATGGGATGACAAATGAGTCTTAGATTTAGCATGAGGATGATGAAATCCTTAACTCCTTCCTTGAAGTGGGTCCCTGCCCACAGATCCTAGCTTAAACAGTCTTGGACCAGTCTGGCAAACAGCTCATGAAGGCATTTTGGTGCTTTTCAGCTTCTTATCAGGAAACACACACACACACCAAACAAAACCACCACGGCTGTGTGGAGTTGCAGTGAAATGTGCTCTTACCTCCAGCAGCAGCCGTCCCTCCTGCACAGGGAACCCTCTGTGTGAGTGGTCTTCAGGTGGCAGAGGCGGAGATGGCCATACACATGTCTCCTGCAAGGCTGTCAGGGAAGAATGAACAGGTGAGCCCTTTGTAGAGCCCACGCCTGCTAGTGGCTTTAATCACATTTTTCTTGTGTTTTCCTGAATTTTACCCCATGGTTCCTGCTAGATGCTCAACCTGGCCTGTGCTGTTGTCCTATACAAGATATGCAGGATCTCCACAAAGTCCTTAAAAAGTTGTATGATTGGCAGGAGGAGCAAGTTGAGGCCCCAGGCCAGCATGAAAGGGTGACCTAATGTAAAAGTGTGACCAAACTCATCTTGGAAACTGCTCTTGAGTCTCTCATCTACCCAGTCTTGAGACAAAGTATGGTTTCCTGTAAGGTTCCCTTCATGGCCAAGGATCCCAGGGTTCCCACAGACACCTCCTGAGATCCAAATACCAGTGATCCAAACAGCACTGGTGGTTACCCTTTGAAAGGGAGCCTGTCATGTGCTTCAAGGCTAGGCCACGGCACCCTGAGTCCACCGATATCCCATACCCTCATGTCTGCTGGAAGGGAACAGGTCAAACGCCCTCACCTGGAGGTAAGTGAAGTCCTTGAGAATGCCCACACATGCTTCTGGGCCTATGAAGATGCCAACCTCCCTGGCACCCCTATCCAAGTCTGGTCTGACGGCTTTGGGATGGAAAGCTCATGGTTCTCTTACGGAGCTGGATTCTAGTCTTTGATGGGCTGACTCCATCTCCACCACCCAGGTGACTTAAGTCCAGACAGAAAGTCCCATTGTTGAGGGCCACAGCATTCTTTTTTTTTTAAGATTTATTTATTTATTTATTGTGTATACAGTGTTCTGTATGCACGTATGCCTGCATACCAGAAGAGGGCATCATATCTCATTATAGATGGTTGTGAGCTACCATGTGGTTGCTGGGAATTGAACTCAGGACCTCTGGAAGGGCTCTGAGCCACCTCTCCAGTGGGCCACAGCATTCTTAAAAGTACTCTCACTACCTGTTCACAGCCCACCTCATGCTGGAAAGGGTGAGTTTGATGGGCTGGGCATATTATTCAGAAATAAAAGCAATATCTGAATCAAAGTTCATCATTCATGTGTCACATGGCCTGGTCTGCCCATGCAAGGGTTTTGGCAGGGATAAAGGACTCTGTGTAACCTTCCCAGGGTAGCCCAGGAGACTATGACCCCCGAGGCAGTGACATGACTTTTGGGATCTAGTATCTTTCTCTTCCTTTCTTTGAAGCCACCATTTTCTCAGCCTTGTCTGCCCAACTACTGAGAGTGGGTTTTCTGTTCACCGCACTAAGTAAGGAACATGCCATTTTCTTTGTCAGAACTCACATCACTCCTGGGAGACACGAGTCCCTGACACCTCTAGGGCAATGGTTCTCAATCTTCCTAACGCTTCGACCCTTTAATGCAGTCCCTCATGTTGTGGTGACCCCCAGCCATAAAATTGTTTTTGTTGCTGCTTCATAAATGTAATTTTGCTACTGTTATGGTCATGATGTAAATATTTTTGGAGATAGAGGTTTGCCAAAAGGGTCAGACTCTAGGGGCAAAAAAGGGATGGAGCCAGACTCCTTGAAGCTCACTCACAGTCCTTCACAAAGTCTGTCCCCACTTTGGGCCTCCCACACAGGAGGCTTCATACTTGGTGCTCCCAGATGTGGCTACAGGAGGAATAAAGGGGCCCACTTTGTTTCCCAGGCCGAGGCGCCAGATGCCTTGAAGGGGCACCCCCATTCCCTTGGGCAATGTTTCATGGAAACTGCAAGAGTGAGAGGAACTGCTGTCCCCTGGTACTTGGGGGTGAGGAGAACGGGACAGTAAGATTCGGCCCGTGTGGGTCTCCTATAAACCAAGGCATCAGCAGGAGGATTCCCAGGGGACAGGGACGACTTTCTAATGGTCTCCCTGCAGATGAGAAACGTTCCCAGCACCACTGAGTTTGCACGAAACTTCCAGAGAACTTAAGGGTGGCTGAGGGGCCGATATGCTTGTTATGCAGGAAAGCGGGTAGGAGTGGAACTGCTGTACCATTTGAGCACAACACAGAAATTGGCCAGATCTACAGGATCTCCCCACTCCAACCCCTACAGCCAGCTCCGCCTCTAAGAGCGGCTAGGTCCAGCATAGGCTGAGCTCCCGAGACTCCACCACCCCCATCGCGTGCTTGGCGCCTCCGGCTTCCTCCTGCGGCCACAGGCGTCACGCGATGGCTGCGATCGCGTGCGAGTGAATTGGGCCCCGCCCGGCAGCGCGGGGGTAGATTGGTTGGGGGCCCAGGCCCGAGGGAAAGGGACAGAGGTGTGGCCGGGGACTGGGGTGGGACCGGGATGGGAGGGGTTTGGATTGTAGCACATCTCAGTCCGGCAACTCTCGCCTGCAGTGTGATTGGTCAGCCCGAGCCGGGTCGGGTGTCTTTGCTTGAGTTAAGAGTAGTGGAGGTCACTGGGGCCCCCACAAAGCGTAGCTAGAGGGTAAGTGTCTAAGAACCAGCAGAGTTTTAAGGTGATCCACACGCCTCTGAGAGTCTGTCCACTACTTCCCGCTGCTTTCCGCCCCTCCACCCTGCACCTATAGGCTTTCCCCTCCCCAGCCGACTTCTAGGGCAGTGAGCAGGAAACTCCAGGGCACCCGCCACTGTAAATTTCAACCAGCTCTTCTGGGGACACTGGCAAGAAGAGGGACCTGCTGGGGCTGCTTGCTCAGAAATGAGCTGGATTCCTGTGCTCTGTGTCCAGCTCGACCTAAATCCATGGTCTCCTGTCAGCCGTAGTCCTTCCCCTACAACTGTAGACACGGCAGCATCTGCAGACCCAGGAAACACAACCACTTTTGAGATTCTCCGGGACACTTCAAGGAGTCCCCAAGTGGTCACAATTCACTGGAACCAACGAATCTTTCACTTCTCTTATTTCCTGAAACCTTGAAGTAGTTTATTTGGAACAGCATGATTTTGAAGAGTTACCATGGAGACAGTTGAAATTGCTACACACAGCAATGCAGGGAGCATAGGCTATCCTGGGCATCCAACTTCCTAGTAACATATTTCCCTTTCTCCACACTTAGCAGGCAAGTAGGACCCCATCTGTGGACGCTAGACACACACAAATCCAGGGACTGCTGGGGGTCGCGTGCATCAGTTCAGCCAAGTGCTCTCTGTGGAGGAGAAGCAAGAAGAATGAACCATCTCTGCGCCTGGGTGGTGCTGTCATGCCTGAAAATGGCTCCTTTTTTCTCCTTTCTCTCAGCTCAGTGATGTCAGTTCCTACACCTGAGTGTCGTGTCTGATCAGTGGGCCAGCCATTTCTGTAGTTACTTTCCCCTTGGATTTGCTTTAGTCAGAGACAAAGCTGGGCAAGCCAGCTGGAGCAGAGATGTTCCAGAATTTTGGCTGAGCGTTTACAAGGCTGAGTAAAGTTTGTTTTAGATCGTCAATAGACAGAGATGTGAGTCTCAGGCGGAGCAGGAAGGCCGGGTATGAAAAGGATAGGAAAGAGAAGCAAAGAGCTCAGAGGAAGAAAGAAGAGGGAGGGTAGGAGAGATGACTTGTCACTCAGGACTCACCCAGAACCTCCCGGCAGCAAGCTGGACTGTCCTCCTGGACAGCTGGAATCTCCGATGCATCCCCTGGGCAAGAAGGAGGCCTGGTTGGAATTTTAGTAAGCCAGTTTGCTTTAGAGTTCCAGAGCTACAGCTGGGAAGAGCAGGCCTCCATCAAGATTCTGCCTACAGCAACACAGTCTACTGTGAACCGAGTGCCCAAGTAAGCAGCGGCACAGAAACAGTGTGGACAGACAGAATGACACATTGTCCAGGTCCTGTGTTAAGGTCATGCTATGCTTCAAGGTTCTACCAGTCAAAACCTGTCCCACACACTACTTCCCACAAAGAAGATGTAAGGACCGACCGACCTACAGGGACATCACAGCTGTCTCAAGGCACACAGTTGCCAGGCCTGCTGGCAGAACACTCAGCAGTTCCCAGAAGGCAGGAACAAATAAACATAAGAGAAAACCCTGGATTCCTGGCAACCCCGTCTTGAAAAGCTCCCTAAGCGAAGTTGCTTAGATATGGACAGGTTCCCCCAGAGTGTCTTTAAACTGAAGGACTACCCTTAGACATGGGCAGGTTCCCTGAGAGTGTCTTTAAACTGAAGGGCTACCCTTGTGACAGCAGGAGTTGGTCCGACAATCTGCAGGACTCAGCCCTTTTGTGCATCTATGATGTTCAGTCTTGCTAGACGCATGGGCTCATCTATGCATTAGGCAGCCTGATGAATGCCTGATGGTGATGTGCCCTCCAGGAATCAGAACACAGGCTCCTACCATATGCACGGAGTCTCGTTAATTAGGAGGAAATCCAAGAATCTTCGGAAAGGACTCTTGTCTGAACCTTCTTGCTGACTGGCTTCAGATATTGGAGTAAACAGGTCCACAACCAAGGACTGGCCTCTACTTTAACAAGGACAGTGCCCGGGGCCATGAACAACACTGCTTTGACTATGTGTGAGTTACCCAGTCACACAGCTTCCAATGTCTGAGGGTATTTCAGGTAGGGTAGCATCTGAACAGGGTCCAGTGGTGTGGATGGTGTCACCTAACTTCTGAGGCCTGTAGAGCACAGAAACTGGTAAGGGAGAAATTCGCCCTTTCCTCCTGCCTCTGGGTGAGCTGGAACACAGCCTCTTATTTACATCTGCTCCTGATTCTCAGTTTGGACCTGCGCTGGATGGTGGCATTCATTTCTCCGGGATTCCCATTAGCTTCCGTGACCACATTAGCCAATTCCTCACAGTTCCTACCCCTGTTGATCTGTTTCTCGAGCGGCCCCTGATAAATACGCCCAAGGGCCAGCTTGAGGTAAAATGCCAACATTTCAGCATTAGATAGGAGCCCAGGCTCTATACTGTGTCTGATCTCCGGGGCTCAAGCTGCACATTGGGCCGGTATCCTGTATGTTGTTTCCTCCTCCAGCCATCTAAAGAGGTTAGACAAGTGTGATGGAAATGTGCCCCTGTCACCCCAGCCTAGCTGATAGCTGTGTCTTACCTGGGACTTTACCAAATACTAGCCTTTGGGATCTTTGCAATGGCCATTTATAATTCAAAATCTTTTTACTGTTCGGTTCCTCAGACAAGAAAAAAATCGGAACATGAATAAACAATCATCCAAATGTGATATTTAAAAAATTGAAGCATAGATCAAGTTGTATATTACAGCAAGTTGTGACTTTTGAGATATAATTTCCAGATTTTTCACAAAACGTTCATTAAAGATTTCACACTTCCAAGCATCTCACAAAGAAACACACACACACAAATGCATTTCCTCAATGCAAATTAAAATGGCTCAGATTCCATTTTACACCTGTCAGAATGGCTAAGATCAAAAACACAAGTGACAGCTCATGCTGGAGAGGATGTGGAGCAGGGGGAACCCTCCTCCATTAGCTAGTGGGAGTGCCATCTTACACAGCCACTTTGGAAATCAGTATGACAGTTTCTCAGGAAATAGGGGCTATCACTGTAGACTTGTGGGAGTTTCCCTTGCATCAGGCTTCTACTGGATTCCATAAGCCCCCATTTCCAGCTAAGACTCCTGCAGCAGTGGATGTATAGTCTAAACTGGCCTTCTGTGATCAGATTGGTGACTACCTCAGTTGTCAACAGAGAGCCTTCATCCAGTGACTGATTAAGGGAGATTCAAAGACCCATGGACAAACATTGGACAGAGCTTGGGAGTCCTGCTAAGGAGAGAGAGGAGGGATTATAGGAGCCTAGTGGGGGTCCCACATTGCAGGAAAACCTACAGAAAAGGCTAGCCTGGCACATGAGAACTCTGAGTCTGAATTGACAACCAAGGAGCCTGTATGGGACTGATCTAGACCCTCTGCACATATGAGTCAGTTGTGTAGCCTGGTCTATTTATGGGACTTCTGGCAGTGGGAGCAGGGGCTGTCCCTGGTGCTTTGGCTGGCTCTTGGGAACCTATCCCTCATGCCTTGTTCATTCTGAATATAGGGGGAAGAGCTTGATCTTAAGGCAGCTTGATAAACCATACTTTGCTGATGCCCATGGGAGGCCTGCCCCTTTCTGAGTGCAGAGGAGGGGTGGATTGAGGGGGTGGAGAGAATGTGGGGAGAGGGAGTGGAAGGAGAGAAGGGAGGGAAGGCTGAAGTTGGGATGTTAAATAAATAAACAAATAAATGAAAATTTAAAATGCATTTCCTCTGAGCCAGTGAGGACTAGTCAAAAGGCAGCCATGTGCCTGTCTCTTCTTAACTCCTTGCTAAGGGTATTTACTTCTTCCCACAAGCTCTGTGTGTCTTCAGTCATTTATTCACCCTTCAGAGGAGAAACATCACCTTTGTCCTCAAATACCTGTCATTGTGGAAGATGAAACTTAAACTAGCTCCTTGTGGGAGGGAATAACACAATTCAGACACAATGCAGTTGCATATTATTTTCATGCTATGAAGTCTCTGATGTAGCAAAAACTGGGTGTTGTTATGGAGTTTTATCAGTAAATGTTTCAGCAAACAAGAGAAAGTACCCAGTATCAGTGAGGGCTCAAGAAGTGTTGTGTAAAACAAAGCCAAAAAGTGTATTTTAAAAGGAAATATTTTAAAGTCAAAGATGTGCTAAATTCATAATTTCGTGATGCTTAGGTGTGGATATCAGCACGAATAAGGCATTCTATAAGAGTCACCAAACTCCCACAACCCACAGCAAGATGCTGTCCTGACAGCTCAGACTGGATGCCCTCGAGGTCAGAAAGAGTATAAAATCTACTTGTAAACATGAGCTGATAATGGAAGATGACAGCTCAGTAGAGCACTTGGTTATCCATGAGCTCAGTTCTCAGCAACACACACACACACACACACACACACACACACCAACACTCATAAATAAATCTATAGCTACTTGTCAGAAAACTTGTAACTAACAGCAGTATGGAGTTGGCCTGCTTGCCTGGCAATTACCTGAGTCTTCAGCTCCGTTACACAAATAAATTATACGTAATTATAGGTCACTAGCTCCTATCAAGATTTTGCCATAATTGTGATCAACAGATACATATTGAATTTAGTAAAACATCCCGGTATCTTAATGTCAGATACACAGATCCTTGTAAAGATGTGCCCACTTGTTCCCTGTAGTTGCTTCCCCCTTCAACCTATCATACAACCTGTCATTACCTATCCCTGATTTTATACAGCAGAGAATTAGATACCACATGCAAGCCAAACATAAGAAGAAACACTGAGCAGGAAGCCAGAAAGGTTCTACTGCCTCTTGGGGATGAGGGGTGATGTCAAAAGTGTAGTCAGGCAAACTGAGGGGACGGCCTTTGAGAATAGATCTGGATGAAGCAATCCCAAGACAGCTAGAAAGAGGGGCCCAAGTGTTCGCCTTAACCCTAAGAAAGAACCAGAAGCCCAAATAGACATCCGTATTTCCAGGCTACTGGCTGGGAGATGCCAGCCTTTCAGAGACAGAAAACTGGTCGGTGGGATTGGGAGTAGAACGGAGCACATGGTCATGACCCACTTCCTGGGAAGGAGAGAGTTAATGGAGTTCCTGCTCACTGAAGCTCCCTGGACACCAGCAGTCCCAGCTATAGAGAGGTCACATATGCTATCACCTGGCTTCATGGGCTGGCCCTGTCTTCCCAACCTTGAAACCTGAGCACTTTAGTGATATGCCATCTTGAGAACAGAGACTCTTTCAGCATCTTCCTGCTCCAGAGACAGAGCCCCTCCATCTCAAGGGTCCACAGATAATCAACCACACCGGCACAGAAAGCAGCAACTTCATCAGGCCAACCAGGTCAACTGTGCAATGCTTTGTGGGGCAGCATCTTGGCCTAAGCAGTGTCTGCAGAAGGACAGGTAGTCAAACACAGACGGGAGCTCCCCTCAAGATGGAGGAGTTGTAGTACTTCCCTGAGGTCAGCACACCTCCTTATTCCCCTCGAGAATGTCCCTCTTGTGGGTTATGGGGACACAGCCTCCAGAGTCTGCACCCCTGAGCGCCACCTCTTCCAGAAACAGGAGTTGACATTTTCAGCAAATGGCACTCGCCTCTTGGGTCCTGGACTTATATCCTTCATCATTCTGTGTCCACCGCCAAAGCAAACTCCTTCTATAATACCTGAAGTCTAAATCAGGAAACACCTTTAGACACTGCTGACTAGTCTCAATGAAGGACTCACAGGGGTTGTATCTGGGTCCACAAGGAATTACCCTTATTTACAAGATTGAGGCTTAACTCCTCTCATCATCTCAAACATCAACTCAGACCTGACCTAAAACTATATATTAAGTACCCAAATTATGAAACTACAAAAAAGAAAACATAGGGGATACTTCAAGATATTAGCACAGGAAAAAAATGGCAAGTGTCAAAATGTCTCAGTGAGTAACAGTGCTTGCTGCCAAATCTAACAACCTGAGTTTGCTTCAGGGCCTACACGGCACACATGGTAGAAGACTACCACCATCGCCCACCACACACACACACCATGGCAAGGAGGGAGAATAATGTAATATAAAATATAAAGTGAAAATGTAATTTTAAAATCTAAAATAAGAAATATGAGACCATTCACTTCTGAGTAAACAGC